GAAAAGGCAGGGGTAAATTAGCAAATAAGCAAGAATGCCGGCCCAAAAAAGAAAAAAGAAAAAGTAAAAAAGTGAAGAACACATTCAAAGGTGCCAAATTTTAATGGGAGAGAGAGAGAGAGGAAAAAAAAAAAAAAAAAAAAACAAGCGAAGAATATGCCTTCGAATTGTCCACCTGCTCCTATTCACCTTCTGTAAAAAGAAAATTAATAAGAAAAAAAAAAAAAAAAAAGCCCAAAAATTTGTTTGAGGTTGCAGAGCCAATCCAACAGGATATTTTTGGTTCTCTCACTCTCTCCCTCCTCTGTTATCTCATCACACAATCTTCAGTCTCCTTCCTCTTTGTATGTGCATATTTAATAATTTCCTTTTGTGGGCAAACTGTTTTTATTTGATTTGATTTGATTTTTTTCTGGGCAAAAATTTTCATGGGTACCAACGATTTTGCACGTGCCGATTTTTGTTTCCTTTTTAGCGGTAAATAAGACGCAGAATCCTTCTTAGCCTTTCTCTCGTCCCTGTTTTCCGCGATTGCCGCATGGGTTAAGCCGGTTTTCTTCGCCTGAAACCGGCCATTAACAAAGGTACCTCACCTTTTCTTCTTCTGCATTCACATTTTATTATACTGTTGTTTTTTCTTGTTTGATCTCAAATCAGCAAATACCCATAAACCTACCTCACGTCCATTTGGAATTTTGACCCTTGCGCTTTTGACCCTTATTGGGAAATAGTCCAGTGCTGCCTTCCTATCTTTGTCTCACTATTTCAGTCAAGATTTTTGAATCTATCTTCTCTTTTTCGGTTCAAATCAAGCCATCTTAAATGTTGGGTAGATTGGGTCCTTTTTTTTAATGGAAACCTGTATCTGTGCTTCATCATATTCATGTCCATTGTATAGATCTGAAGGGGCAATCCATGCTTGAAACCTGGTGCGAATTCTCATAGAAGTTTGGGATTTTTTTTGGTGTTATTTGTGGTATCATGTCTGGGGCAGCAGGACATGGCGTGGAGCATGTAGGCTTGCCCAAAATGGAGGCTAAATCCAAACCCGATTGTTGTAACCCGGTTAAGAAATCGGGTCCCGTTTCAATGGAACATGTGCTTCTAGCATTGCGTGAGACCAAGGAAGAAAGAGATATGAGAATCCGGAGTTTGTTCAATTTCTTCGATTCCGCGAATTTGGGATACTTGGATTATGCCCAAATCGACAAAGGTTTGTCTGCTTTGCAGATTCCTGCGGAGTATAAGTATGCTAAGGATTTGTTGAAAGTCTGTGATGCGAATAGAGATGGGCGTGTGGATTACCAAGAGTTTCGTCGATATATGGATGATAAGGAGCTGGAGCTCTATAGGATATTTCAGGCTATTGATGTGGAGCATAACGGTTGCATTTTGCCTGAGGAGCTATGGGACGCCCTGGTTAAGGCTGGTACACCATGCTTTTCAATGCTTTACTTTTTGGGAATTACGTGATCGTATTGATAGTGAATTTTCTTGGTGGAGCGTATTTAGACTGTAATTATTCAATGCTTATTAATTGCAGAAGGTGTTTGCTTTATTGCTTTTGCATGTCATTGTCCTTTTCCTTGATTGAAATGTTGCTAGTTTAATTAGAGGGAGTTGTTTTTACCTTGTTAGATTGGAAAACTTAGCATGCTGTAATGCCAAGAAAAGAAAGAAAATAAGATCTTAAAGAATCAGGTATGAAATAACATATAGTGGGGGCAATAGATTTTTGCATCAAAGAACTCAACATCAGCATTGAAAAGATTCATAATTGTTAATTAATGATAATAAAGAAGATGGTAAAAAATCTTAAGAAAAACCAACTGGTGATCTGGTTTAATAGTTTTGTCCATTATGTTTGCGCTTGTTACCCATTGGGTATTGGGAGAAACTTTGGTGGTCTGTGCATTGGGTTTGCATCAGTACTTGATCACCAGTTGCTCTTGTGATTTGACTTCTTATCAACATCAATATCCATCTATAAATAATTTGTTATGATGGTGTGATGCTTTAGTAGTACATTTCACAGCAATTTGTGAATGCAGCTTTTCAAGAGAAATTTGGTGATTGTGATTTGACTTCTTATCAACATCAATATCCATTTATAAATAATTTGTTATGATGGTGTGGTGCTTTAGTATTACATTTCACTGCAATTTGTGAATGCAGCTTTTCAAGAGAAATTTGGGGGATAATTTCATCAATTTCAGTCAGACCGTCCCCATTTTTTTTTTTTTTTGAAAAAACCGTGTCATATGAATAATTGGGTGGTCACAAATGGGTGGTTATTATGGGTTGCTATGGGACATGTTATCTCTGTTTTGCTAATTTAACTTTAATT